AGTTCGGAAAAAAATTTGTTCACAAATTCCAAAAATGTTCGGGTATTTCAAAAGGTGTTACAACTTTTCAAAGATTGTTCATTTTTAAAAAATGTCCTCATGTTTCTAAAATTGTTCACAGATTCAAAAAAATGGGTTCTCAAATTTTTAAAATGTTCTCATCTTCTTTTTATATTTTCTTTTTTTAGATTCCAAAGATGTTCCAATTTTAAAAAATTTGTTCACAAATTTGAAAGAGATCACAATTTTCAAATATTGTTCACAATTTCAAATAATGTTCTTGTTTTCAATTTTGTTCCTTTTTATTCACAAAAACTGTTTGTGCTTTTGAAATTTGTTCCCATTATCAATTTTTTGTTCTCAAAATTCTATAAATGTTTGGGTTTTCAGAAAATGTCCACGAATTTCAAAAACCAGTCTGTCGAAAAATGTTCACGTCTTTTGTTTTACTTTTTTGAAATTTGAAAATAGTTCTGAGTTGTTAATTTTTCTTATCGTATTTTGGTACACTGCCCGTTTGTTAAAATAAATTCACAATTTCGAAGGAAAGTTTAGAAAAATTCAAAAAAAACTGTCCACATTCTTCATTGGTATTAGTTCTTATACTAGCACGCTTCATATTTGGCAACAACGCTTGTTACGTCTACTGGTTAGCTCCTCTCGTACGCAACATGGAGGTGCAGAGATCGAATCCTGGCATCATTGCAAGCTTGGTTTTTTTTTCACATTAAAGCTTGGTTTTTTTTTCACATTAATATGGCAGCGCTACTGTACAAGCAAGCGCGCCCACTATTGGGCCGGCCCAGTCGGGGTTCTGTGCGTGCGTCGCGCAGCTGTTTGACGCAGAATGCGTCCAATAGGAGTTCCCCATGGCTATATCTCGCTCGCTGTAAGACAGTAGCTGGCATCACCTCATGGAGCCGGTTATTGGCTTGGCCTAGTAATTTTTGTCAGGCCGATGTTATGCATGTTTCCAATTTATTTTGTTTATCTTTTGAATTTTTTAGTTAAATTTTCCTGATTAAAACAAAAAATGTTAATGCAGTGTACAAATAATTGTTAGCGCAGTTTCAAAAATTATTCATACCGTTAATAAATTGTAACAAAACAATATTAATGTGTTTCTAGAAAATTAGTAAATGCACACATGCAATGCACGTTAATATTAGAAAGGAAATTAATTGCACGTTTATATTGGTACGATATCAATTAAAAATTAATTATGTGATGTGCAAAAAACTAGATTTTTTATATGATATTAATTGCAAGCTAAACATGTTGAGCGATCGCCCTTGGAGCAAACTAGGTCGTTTCATTGACATAGTTTGATGGTGGAGATTAACAGGATCTGCTCCTTTGGGTCTTTTCATAGATGTACATCACAATGTAAAAAAATTGTTAATCATGTATTTAAAAATATTAAACTTGTTTAAAAAATATTCCTGATGTATACGACAAATGTACATCATGTATGAAGAAAAGTAGACATTAAAACGTATATTAAAAAAAGTAGTCACATATTTGATAAAAGTTACCATGTATAATTAAAATGTAAAACATACGTGAAAAAAATACACATCAAACCATATATTTTAAAAAATGTTGATTATGTATTTGAACAATGCTAAACATGTATAACAAAAAATTCCTGATGTATAAAAGAAATGTATAACTTCTATGAAAAAGTAGGCATTAAAATGTAAATTGAAATGAGTGTTAGTCATGTATTGAATAAATGTTAAATATTAAAGAAAATGTTAATGGTATATACGAAAAATGTAAAACGTACATGAATAAAATAGACATCAAAACATATATTCAAAAACTAAATTTTAATTATATATTTGATAAAAATAACGTGTATAGGTAGATATTCTGGATGTACACAAAAAAAGCATAACATTTATATATACGAAAAATGTATAACGTCTATGAACAAGTAGACATTATAAATTTAAATAAATGATAATCATGTGTTTAAAAAATATTAAACGTGTGTAAAGAAAATGTTAATGATTTATATGAAAAATGCAAAACATACATGAATAAATTAGACATCAAAAGACATATTTAAGAAATATATATATATATATATATATATATATATATATATATATAAGTATTCAGGATGTATACAAAAAATGTATTACGTTTTATGGAAAAAGTAGACATTGTCCTTAATGTATAGAAAAAAGTACATTGTGTGTGAGAAAGAGTAGATGCCTGTTGATGAAAAGGAGGAAATAAAATATGATGCAATAAATGAAAAATAATGAAAACCGGTTAGAAAAAAAACAAAAAGGAAAAGAGAAAATCCAAAAGAAACTAAAAAAAGTGGCCCGCTAGTTCCTGCCCATAGACGATTCCTAATAGGAATGGATGTCGGCGAGACATCGCATTTGTGGAGTTAGACACTATTTAGAAGTCACCTTTGCCCAATGGGCAACTGAAATATTGGGTAATTTATGGCCTATTGTCTTCTATTCTCCCCTAATTCATGCCTAATAGAATATCATTTCTCTTAAAGTTTTTGTTCTAAACCCAAGCTCATGTGAGCTCGAGTGAACAGTAAAATAAAAAAAAAATCTGTTTTTTTGTGAAACATTTACAAAATGGTTTTTGGCTAGCAAATTTCATTACCATATGTCATTCGTCGAAATCGTGGCCAAAAACATCGATGCACCAAAATGCGTTTGAAAATAACATTTTGGAGTGTCATTTTTTTTGCCACGACTTTTGTGGATGTCATATTGTAACGAAATTTTGCAAGCCAACAAACATTTTTCAATGTTTCACACAAAGAAAAGCAGAATTTTTTGAATTTCTTTTCCATTTTTCTTTTGAATTTACTATTCACCCGAGCTCATATGAGCTCGGGATTAGAACAGACGCATCCATCATTTCTCCCTATTTCTTTGGCCTTATATTAAAAACAAAGGTTGCCAAGTAAAATAATTCCATTATAGTGAGTTAGATAACACACACAATCCATTTTAATTTTTAGGTGTGATCGATTAATAGTTCATATCATCAAAAATATCTCTGTGTTCCATGTGTCATCGTCTCATCAGATAGTTTTTCCGGCACATAACTCCATACTCTTTGTGGTTGTGATCAAGACACGCTGCACAACACAACTTCTGCGTTCATCCAACTTCAGCCGAATTCGAGCCAGTACTCCGTCGCTAAGATACACTAGCTGACCAGCTTCGATCATCGAACGCTAGCCTTTAGAGGGTACGGTAGAAAATCCTAACATAAAGCCCGGTGGTGTGTACTGTGTACATGTTTGGATCATACGTTCGGTACAAAAGCCTAACATAAGAACGACCGCGGTCCCAAGGGGAGCTCCTAGTCGGCGCTTAGCGCCTGCTAACCTAACCGGAATACTGTAGCGCAAAAATACCAGGAAAAAGGGCATCGTGGGGAATCGAACTAAGCCCGCAACTAACAACCAATAGACTGCATACCACTACACCACCCGACTTATAGTGACTGAATGCAGCACGCACTGTTTAAGAACTACTCTAGCTGCGCTATTAATTAGAACAAGTTCGCTAATTTGAGGAAAAAAGTTCACCAATTGACCAGTCTGACCAGTTGACCATTGAATGCTCAAAAAATATGTGTATCTTTTCTGAAAAATCAGGAATTAGAAAAAACCGTTCACAAAAAACTCATAAAAATAGAAAAAGTTCATCAATCTTCAAAAATAGTTCATTGATTTTGAAAAAAGTTCACTCGATTTGAAAAAAGTTCATCGATTTTGGAAAAAGTTCAGTCGATTTGAAAAAAGTTCATCGATTTTGGAAAAAGATCATTCGATTTGAGAAAAAAGTTCATCGATCTTGAGAAAAAGTTCATCAACTTTGATAAAAGTTCATCAAATTAAAAAAAAAGTTCACCCAATTTGGAAAAGTCAACGATTTTGAAAAAAGTTCATCAAAATTGCAAAAAAGCTCATCAGATTTTAAAAAAGTTCATCAATTTTTGAAAAAGTTCATAGATTTTCAAAAAAGTTCACCGAATTTAAAAAATAGTTCATCGATTTGGGAAAAAGTTCATTGAATTTCAAAAGAAATCATCAATTTAAAAGAAAAGTTCAGGTATTTGCACACAATTTGGACGAACCAGGATGAAAAAAATAGAAAACAGAAAAGGAAAAAAAGGAAAACGAAAAAAGAAAAAAGGAAAAAAGAAAAGGGAAACGAGAAGCGGGAGAAGATATAATAAAAGAAAGAGAAAGTTTCCTTTAAACAGATTCGCTGCGGTGGTGCAGTGGTTGTTCTGCCAAAAATTGGTCTCAGGGTCGTGGGTTCAGGACAGGCGCTCTTTGTTTTTGCAGAATTAAGACACAGAGAAGAAACCCCTAAATGGGCCGGCCCATCGCGGGAGCGCTACAGGCGCCCGTTTGCAAAAACACTATTAACGGGAGCCTGCAGCGCCAAATAGGGTTTGCCACGGGCACCGTTTAGGAAATGCCTTTGTTAGTTGAGCACGGCATAGCGTGAGGAATATAATAGGAGGTCCCCTAGAAGTACCCTTACCTGAAAAAAAAAAGATGTACCCCCCCTAAAAAAAAAGGTACAAGTACCCTGGTTTTCCATTGTCAGTTGAGATTTCGCGCACTATACATACATGTGATATATGTGCCTATATCTACACAATGTTTCTAGCCTTGCCAAGAGTCAGGATGGACAAGTAATCTACTACCGTCGTCATTGGCCCTTCCACCATCAGCTCAAAACCATGCACGGAAGTAAATCGAGGACAAGACCAAGCTAGCAGCTTGCAAAACAATCTTATAATATGAGATGGAGGGAATATCATTTTTTGTTATTTTTGTTGCGAATCCAAGCTAGCAAATTGACTACCTAGCTTTTTTATTCTAATTTTGCTCTCTCGCCTCGCGGAATTAAAATCAGTGTAGTCGATCAGACGACCATTGAGTTCCACTTTGAACTACCTAAAATAGTTATTAATTTTCTTACTAGATAATTTCACAAGCACTTTAGTAGGGTTAGCTCTTTGGACGCCGAGGACTCCACGCTGGGCTGTCCTTGCCGCTGCTGCTGCTCAATGGCATTTTGCCACCCCTGCCTCCCTAAGCTCATCTCCAGGCTGGGTACTCTTGATGGCGCCTGCTGCTGCTTCATGCATGCTTGCTCTGCGGTGCTGCCGGCGTTCCTGCCGTTCATTTGTAGTGGGGTCGACGGCGACGGCGACAGCGATAGTGACGACGACGACGACCATCCCCGAGCAAAACCTGCTGTCGACGATCCAATCCTGGGCGTCTCATCATGGCGTGCGCCTACATGCAGACGTTGTCCTCTGTCCTGTCCTGGGCAATTGAGTGAAGCATCTTGCTGCTGTGCACCTCTCCATCCCTGTACAAACATGCACGCTCAACAGTGGTTATTCGGCAGTGCGTTTGCTATGATTTACTAGGAGTTGCAATGCAGCTAGCTCAACCACTAGATGAAAGATTACAGTACTATATATACATATGGAAATCATGCAATATCTATATGTGAAATGCTAGATGGAACATTATAGCATTATACTATAAATACATACGGAAATCATGCAATATCTATATGTGAAATGTACATTAACTAGCTAGTGTGTAGACCATTATACTGAGTCTCGAGGGAACGCAACCAACAACGTGGCATGCATTACTACTGGTAGCAATTAAGAGGGGCTGTCAGGGACACATTCACAGATTGATGATGTGCAGTTTGTCCCCAACACTGCAAATATTAATGCCCTAATTAAGCCACCTCTCAGAGCCTCGACAGACGTCTACAGAGCATCATTGTATGTTCAGCGTTCAGGATAGGATCCAGGTAACAAAGAAATGTTGGATACGTAGTGTGTAATGGAGCTCGCGAGCTAACGAAAGATCACCTGGTTTTGCTTCATCAAGTATTGGTGAATGGACATGAGGTAGGCGCTTGGTAGCGGCGGGCCGCCTCCGCCTTGCTCCGGCACGAACGGCGGCTGCAGCTGCTCCGCCGGCGACGCCCATGGCGGCCTTCTGCAACTCGTAACAAACAATGTTTCCATCAGATTACTAATCTATTAACACAACGAAGATATTACGATGAGCTTAGCTAGCCTATGGTAATTAAAGGGAAAATCGGAAGGAGTCTCGATCGTGACAGACACAGGCAGCAGGCAGATCGACACAATGAGTACAAGAGCCAGCGAAATAGTTAAAACCATCAGATGGTTACACGAGGGAGCGAGCAACTGGCGTCCAGCAGCAGGAATTAACTCCTGCACTGCGCATGCAAGGCCCAGAGCGAACGAGAGGAGCGTGGCATGGCATGGCAGCGGACACGACGAGCAGAAGAGACCTACTGTATGTAAGCTGTTGTTGCATGCGGCGCAGTGCGGCCGGCGTAGTGCTAGCGTTGCTGTCCCTGCGACTGAGTGAGTGTTAATGCAATGCGCGACGCGCCGCTGGCAAGTTGGCTTGTCCGTGCTCGCCACTAGCTCACTCGCACTGTGTATTTAAGCTGCCTGAGGCTGGGCTGGGCTAGGCTAGGGTGGGTGCGCAGGCTTTCTCAGCCGGTCAAGCTAAGGACAATGGATGGATGGATGGATGGATGGATGGCCAGGTGTGGATCTAGGCAGAGGCACGCTGCGTGCGCCCTTGTCTTGTTGTACTTGTCTCACGCCAAGATTCCGGCCACCACCACCCGGCGCCATGGCCAGCTCCTGATGGACGCAGGGGGACAATTTATATGGATCTGAACGATGATCATCACAAATGCAGCGAGTCTTAGGCTGCTAGCTAGCTGCATGCACGCTGCTGCTACTTCCTGCGTAGGAGTAGTAATACTCCTGCATGAGCCCCTCTCTCTCTCTCTCTCTCTCTCTCGCTCTCTCACACACACACACACACACACACACACACACACACACACAGCTGCATGCGATAGTACTGCAAGTTAGGACAGGAGGGGAAAGAAAGTCTTGGCATGCATCATGATCCATCTTCCCCAACAGGTGGCAGCACTAATCGAGGTACAATGTTTTGCAAGATTGATAGCTGGACTAGAAGTTACTTTCCCTTTACAGACCTGTCCCCCATGGCCATGGCCACCCTGGAGCTACATGCATGGCGCCATATTGCTGTGAGGTTAACTGAACCATAGCATGCATGCATAGAACCATGGTTGCTTTTAGTGCCTTCGCATGCATGGAAGTTTGGAATCAACATCCAAGGACAATATGTCTGCACACGAGACGCGCAGAGAACTAGCTAGCGAACAACCCACGGTTGTTGTTCTCTATACGTGTGAGAGGTGTATTTAGCTCCATGAGAGAGAAGTATATATGGTGCTGAAATAGAACTGCTTCCTTCTACTATATGTTAAGCGAAAATGGAAGTTGAGAAAGTACACATATATGTTGTAAAATGATAAAAGGTACTTTGTTAGTTTGCACTCAATTAATGTACCTTCAAGTCATTTTCATATAGGAGTATTATTGTATGAAATAAATCGTTAGGTAAACTTTGAAGTAGATTCCCAATACATAAAACAGTGATTTTCAAGCAAGACTACTTGTTTTGTTACAGAACTAACTGAGTACGCCGCACAGTTTGTGCCGCTAGATTTTTCTTCTCCTCTACCATTCTTACGGCATTTTTTACTAGCCTACACTATTAGAATTAGACCCACAAAACATAAGTGGGGCATTTTTTTGTTGGTTTAGAGCTAATTATCTACACCTCTATAACCAGGCCTCACGAAGGAATTGGTGCAGGCCTTCCAATTTCTCTGTATCTAATCAAGTGTTATAATCTGCCCCCCAAACTAAAATACGCATCAATGTATGTGACCTTTTGCACTTGTATTGTGTTTCTTGAAAAACAGTAGTGTAGTTATTTACATTTTTAGTAAATTTCCCATCTTCTCGAGTGGAAGTGTACCTTCAATTTCACATATCCTTTATAGGTAGATATCTAGTTTCTGTGTCAACTAAAAGCTTCATGGCTTGTTATAAAAACATTTTTTGTGAAAAAGCATTTGAACAGAAATTTAAATTAAATTCTAGGTCAACTGAAGTATAAGGTGCACGTTTGAAACCAGCCTTAGTTAGGCTCCACGTATAGAAATTATGGCATATCGTTTAAAATCCAGTAACTAATATGTCATTGCATCTAAACTATTATGTGAATACCAGAGATGATCTGATGTGTAATTTCTATGCCAAAATAACTAGTACACGAATATTAGTTACTGAAAACTACTTCTTTGCACAGCTCCATGGAAATTAAGAGAAGATTGTATGCATTATCTAATTTGGCATAAAATTTATTAAGATACACTCACATAAATGTTAAACAGAACATTTGTAATTATTCATAGTTTATTCTAACACTCTAATACTTTGTGGAACAACATAAAGAAGTTACATGACAGAATTGATCTTGGAGTCCTTCTAGATGTACTTCCATTTTCTTTCTTAAAAGCTCCATAGCTAACATGACTACTTCTCCTCACTCTCTTAGTCTATATATGATGAACAACATAATAGAACTCAAATACAAGTTATGTGTGGCTTATATATATGTTAGCATATCTAAGATTTGATCACATGATTCCATGCTTTCAACACCAAGCTTAAATACGAGAGCATGCATGTATTTAGTCTCAAAAATGGATGGTGAGTTTCGCGGCCACTAGACCCTCGGATATGTCAAGCTTCAAGACCGAGCACATTGTAAAATTACAATACAGTGTATTGTAATGTACTCCCTCTGTTTCAAAATAGATGACCCAATTTTGTACTAACTTTAGTACAAAGTTAGTAAAAAGTTGGG